GATTTCTCTGTTCATTACACTCAGAAGTTCCTCCCCTGTGTGACTACGTTCGCCAAGGCATACCAGGTGCAGCACAGCGTGACACCGTTGCGCCCTGCACATGTGATATGCCGGTCGGGTAATGGGACTTGGCACGGGGGGGTGGCGGCTGAGGACACGGCGGAAGAAGAGGTGGTAGAGGCGGACATCTTTGCTGGACCAAGGACGTGCAAACGTGGAGGCAAAAGCGGCGTGACCTGTCCAAGTTGCTGGTGCGGCTGTGCCGGCACCACGTTCACCCAGTGGGCCGTAAATGACATGTACTGTCCCTGACCGTAGTTACAGCTCCACACGTCGGCGCTGCCGTGCACTTTGGCAGAGACCGACATGCTCAAAGACTGGCCCACCATCTCTTCTACATGTGAATGCAGGGCTGGCACTGCCTTTTTGGCGAAGAAATGACGGCTTGGCACTCTCCACCGCGGCTCGGCACAAGCCATCATTTCTCGGAAAGGTGCTGAGTCCACCACTTGGAAAGGGAGGGACTGCAGCACCAGCAACTTGGACAGGAGGACGTTCAGCTTCTGCACCGTCGGGTGCGTGCTCGCAAACTGTTGTCTCTTGGAAACGGATTCCAAGAAAGACTGCTGACGGAATCCGTGAAGAGGAGTAGCAGGAGAAGGAGCATCTGAACGAGCGGAAGATGCCAACGAGCGACAACTCCCCTCAGCAGAGGTGTTGGAGCCTTGACTGGCTGATAGAGGGCGATTGACGTCGGGTGACGGAGCAAGTAACGGAGCGGGTGATGGAGCGGGGGCTGGGGCAGGCAGAACCGCCGTATCTTTATCACGGTTTTCCCAGGCCACCGAATGGCGACGCTGCATATGCTGACGCAACGCTGTAGTCCCAACATGGCCCCCTGGCCACGCTTGACTTTCTGGCCACATAGTCGACATACGGCTACGTTTACTTCCTCGGGCGGCTTGACGAAAAATTGCCACACCGCCGAGTAGGAAACTTTGCCCCCGCTACTCCTCACTGGCTGACTGCTGCTTCCTCCGTGCACACCGGCACCACTACTGGCCGTGGTGGTAGGCTGCAGTGGAGCTGGTGCTCTACTCCGTGGCCGTTTGGCTCCACTGACACTGCTGCGACCCTGCTGTCTCCTGGGCAACCCACCGACTGTTTTGCTCGCTGGCAAGCTGGCACCCTCTTCTCCTGATGATGCGGAAGCAATAGCCTGATGACGACGAGGCTGCCAAGTGCGATCAGCCTCATCATCATCAATTAGGGTCTCCGCGTCACTACTAGCCCCCTCGGCTTCGTGTGGGTCAGGAGACAAACCTGTCTCTAGACCGGCTACCGAGCCACTCTCCTCGCCAGTACTTCTTCGCCTGGCTGCTGAAGAGGCGGATGTCTCCCCCCGTTCCTGACCGCCCTCTGTTAGCTCTTCCTCACTGTACAGTGGGGCTGAGCCCACAGCATGCGATACTTCGCTTGGTGAGGGAACACCAAAGGACAGGGGCAGGTCGAGGACACGTGATTTCAGTGGGCTTGCTCCCGGGCCATGCCAACTAATGGTTGTGTCTGACGTACCCACCGACCGTTGGCTGTAGGTGTCAGAGGTGACCTGGGAAGAGGAAGACGACCGAGTCAACCAATCGATGACGGCAGGGTTGTCGGTGGAGACACGACCGCTGGATGACACCGGGAGCACTGGCCTCTGGCTGCGAATAGTGCTGCCTCGACCCCTTCCTCTGCTGCCACGTCTGCTCGCTCCTGAAACATTGCCTCCTCTGCCACTCCTCTGCGTGTTGTCTGACATACTCTTTAATTCAATAAGCACCCCAAAAATAAAACCGGATTTAACTCTTTGAATGTACAATAGTGGTTGTGAAGCAGAAAGTCAGTTTATTTAGCACAATCGGTCAATTGCAGCTTGCCGTTGGCTGGAAACTGTATGTTTATGTCACTGGAATGCACTAATCACCCAAAAAATATTACCGCCACCCGGCGTGTATATGGATTTAACTCTTTGAACGTACAATAGTGGTTGTGAAGCAGAAAGTCAGTTTATTGTACACAATCGGTCAATTGCAGCTTGCCGTTGGCTGTAAACTGTACGTTTATGTCACTGGAATGCACTAATCACCCAAAAAATATTACCGCCAGCCGGCGTGTAAATGGATTTAACTCTTTGAACGTACAATAGTGGCTGTGAAGCAGAAAGTCAGTTTATTTTGCACAATCGGCAAACTGCAGCACCAACTGTGCACGACAGCCACCAAAAAAAAAAAGGGTGTATGTCACTTTAAATTTTCGATTCTTTGATAGCTGTGGCCCTAAGTAACGATTCTGTGTCCCTGAGTAACGATTCTGTGTGTCCTGAGTAACGATTCTGTGTCCCTGAGTAACGATTCTGTGTCCCTGAGTGATTCTGTGTCCCTGAGTATTCTGTGTCCCTGAGTAACAATTCTGTGTCCGAGTAACAATTCTGTGTCCCTGAGTAACAATTCTGTGTCCCTGAGTAACGATTCTGTGTCCGAGTAACGATTCTGTATCCCTGAGTAACGATTCTGTGTCCCTGAGTAACGATTCTGTGTCCCTGAGTAACGATTCTGTGGCCCTGAGTAACGATTCTGTGGCCCTAAAGTCTCTGTGGCCCTAACTCTGTCCCTTCATACAGACAGGTCTGTCTCTCTTGAATGAGGCTAATGGAGAATTCTAAGATGGCCGCGATTTATAGCTCCACCATTACACAGTGCTGGCTGGCTGGCTGCTGATTGGCTAATGCGATCACATGTCATGAATGAATGCATTATGGGTCAGCGCGCCTTGTCTGCGCGCCTTCCCAGAGATCCCCGCTCCGTCGCCACACATGTCGCCGCCATTTTTGGGAAAATTCGATTTGTGCATCCGAAGTTTGCTAATCTTCGGATTCGTCGCGAATCGAATTTTTCCCAATCTTCAAAACGAATTCCACTTCGTCATGTTCGATTCGCTCATCTCTACTCCTAACCAATAAAGGTTTCAAAAAGTCCTTCAAGCGAGATGAACGTTTTGAGGAGTCCTGATTGTCTACCATTTCCAAATTGCCTAAATTGATCTGGGATATGAGCTTATCTAAATGATTCATTCATCTCTACTTACGTATGTGTATTATTTTTCAGTGTATTCCTCATTTGTGGTCTCTGACCTCAGCACAGCAGAACAACCGATCTGTGGTACACCACTTATCAGCAGTCGGATAGTTGGTGGTACCGATGCAAGCGAAGGAGCTTGGCCATGGCAAATCAGCCTGCAACAGAAGGGCTCCCATGTTTGTGGTGGCTCCTTGATCTCCAACCAGTTGGTACTGTGTGCTGCCCATTGCTTTGAACAGTAAGTAGTTGTACGTGTCTAATATGTCTATAAATGCATTTATCGCATTGGTGCCCCCACCTCTGCCATGTAGTGACTGGCAGTTTTAAACAGTCACGTAATCCAGTAGCTGGATGAAACACCAATTCTGGTGTAGATCTGCCATATTTAGAAAGTGTATAATTGCCTGTCAGTAAATGCCAGTGTGTTTATAACATGCAAGAAAATGAGTATGTTGTGCTAAAAATCTAGTAATGACTTTAACCGACTCTTGTGGGATCTTTTTTTGGGGCAGTGGTGTTTTTAGTTCTTGTGCTGCCCTAGTCATCACTAAAATTTGCACCCACCACCTGCACCCCCAACCCCCATGGCCCTCCACTGCCACCACTCTTCACCAAACACCCAAGGGCCCCCACTCCCCCAAACCCTCTCCGGCCTCCACTGCCACCACTCTCTGCCAACCAACCCCCCCGGCCCCCGCCACTCTTCGCCAAACACCCCGCGTCCTGCCCGCAGAGAGAGAGTTAGTCAAGCACTAACCTTAACCTCTCCTGGAAGCATTTGGCCATTCCCAGAGCCAAGCCCAGTGTCTTCCTTCCTTCTGTGAGAAGCCTACACCCTCCAGCAGTTCATAGCCTCCTCATATTCTATGGTAGTGCCTCACCAGGTCTTCATCCCTGCCACGAGTGCCCCTTTCTTCTGGCGGGTGGCCCAGTGCCCCTCCCGAAAACGAAAATGCTGCCCTAGACAAATGTCTTGTTTGCCTCGCGGTAAATACGCCGCTGTCCCTAGGGACTGTGCTCCTTTCTTCTTCTTTTCTTCCTCCCCCTTAATTCTTTTTCCTCTTCTTCTTCTCCTCTTCTTTTCCCTTTTTTCTCCCTCTTTTTCTGCTTTGGTGTTTTTTTTCTCTTTTTTCTTTGGTTAATTTGGTACATTTTTTCTGCTTTGTTCTATTACCACCTTTACCTTGCCTTACAGTCTACTACATGGGGTTATGTAAGGTTTCCCCCCTCTATGCCTCCCATAATCACCCTGGGGGGGGGTTTGGCTTGTCCCTACTTGGGTCCTCGCCTAAATCCTATCGGGTAAACAATTACATGTCCGCCACCTTGCAACAGACTCCATGACTTATATGTGTACTGTATTTTTGGTATTCTTGTCTTTATTTATTGATGTTTATCCATGTTATACCTTAGACATATATTGGCTCGTTTTACCTCCTGGACGCGAAGAATGTCACAAAATATGTAGGGTAGAGTAGCCTCAGCTTCTTTCCCTCTGGTCATCATTTGGAATTCACATTGGGGGTTTTGGATTGCCTAGGGCAGCACAAAACCTAAACACACCACTGTTCTCATGCCTATATAGGCTTTAGTTAGCCATTAAATAGCATCACATGGAAATGATTTGTTTAATTGAAATTATTATCATGATAACTCCGGACCAACACAATAAACGTGCCCTGTTGAGATTCACAATTTTAAGTTTGTGTTACAGTTTTGTAGCTGCTATATTGTAACGTTTTTGGTACATTATCTGTGTTGTTTAGGTCTAAAGATCCATCAGACTTCACAGTTGTTCTGGGGGCATACCAGCTGAAAGACTTCAATTCTCACCAGATAGAATCCAATGTGCAGAGTATCACCGTGAACTCTCTGTGGAGTGGTGAAGGGACCCCCGGAGACATCGCGTTGATCGAACTCTCCAGTCCCATCACTTATACCAAGTACATTCTGCCCGTGTGTGTGCCCCCACCATCCATGAACTTCCCAGCGGGCATGGAATGCTATGTGACTGGATGGGGTAATATCAGGGATGGCGGTAAGGACACAGATAGGTACAATTTACCATAAGCATAGAGTACTGCCAGATTTAAATGGTGATGTCACACCTTATAAAATACATCAACTCAACCACACCATGCTGACATGCACTTATATGTCCTTGCCTCGTAAAAAATGGAAAATATTATAATTTTGTATAAAGCATCTGTAACTGCATGATTACTGCTTATGTAACTCTAAAACTTTTACTTTCTAGATAGAGTAGGGACGTGTTTTCAAACACAATATTTATTTAGCATTTTGCACAGTAGAATATGTAGAGCTATCCTTGCAGGGGCTGCTGAATTTAATAGTTCCTTCCCAAACAAAGCTGGGAACCATGAGATTGCTTTAGAATAGTTTAAAGTCTCATAGCTGGGGACCATGAATTTGCTTCAGAATAGTTTAATCTCTTATAGCTGGAGACCATGAGGTTGCTTCAGAATAGTTTAGTCTCTTATAGCTGGAGACCATGAGGTGGCTTCAGAATAGGTTAATCTCTTATAGCTGGGGACCATGAGGTTGCTTCAGAATAGTTTAATCTCTTATAGCTGGGGACCATGAGGTTGCTTCAGAATAGTTTAATCCCTTATAGCTGGAGACCATGAGGTTGCTTCAGAATAGTTTAATCTCTTATAGCTGGGGACCATGAGGTTGCTTCAGAATAGTTTAATCTCTTATAGCTGGGGACCATGAGGTTGCTTCAGAATAGTTTAGTCTCTTATAGCTGGGGATTATGAGGTTGCTTCAGTATAGTTTAGTCTCTTATAGCTGGGGACCATGAGGTTGCTTCAGTATAGTTTAGTCTCTTATAGCTGGGGACCATGAGGTTGCTTCAGTATAGTTTAGTCTCTTATAGCTGGGGACCATGAGGTTGCTTCAGAATAGTTTAATCTCTTATAGCTGGAGACCATGAGGTTGCTTCAGAATAGTTTAATCCCTTATAGCTGGGGACCATGAGGTGGCTTCAGAATAGTTTAGTCTCTTATAGCTGGGGACCATGAGGTGCTTCAGAATAGTTTAGTCTCTTATAGCTGGGGACCATGTGGTTGCTTCAGAATAGTTTAATCTCTAATAGCTGGGGACCATGAAGTTGCTTCAGTATAGTTTAGTTTCTTATAGCTGGGGATCATGAGGTTGCTTCAGAATAGTTTAATCTCCTATAGCTGGGGACCATGAGGTTGCTTCAGAATAGTTTAATCTCTTACAGCTGGGGACCATGAGGTTGCTTCAGCGTAGTTTAATCTCTTATAGCTGGAGACCATGAAGTTGCTTCAGAATAGTTTAATCTCTTATAGCTGGGGACCATGAGGTGGCTTCAGAATAGTTTAGTCTCTTATAGCTGGGGACCATGAGGTGGCTTCAAAATAGTTTAATCTCTTATAGCTGGGGACCATGAGGTTGCTTCAGAATAGTTTAATCTCTTATAGCTGGGGACCATGAGGTTGCTTCAAAATAGTTTAGTCTCTTATAGATGGGGACCATGAGGTGGTTTCAGAATAGTTTAAAGTCTCATAGCTGGTGACCATGAAGTTGCTTCAGAATAGTTTAATCTTTTATAGCTGAGGATCATGAGTTTTCTTTCAGAATAGTTTCAAGTCTCATAGCTGGGGACCATGAGATTAATCTCTGTGGCATTAAACCTGTGTTCACATATATGCGGCGCGGTATATCGCATGTGATTCGCACAGTAACCTCACCACATTCCTGTGCAAATCATATGTGATTTGTGTGCGGTGTGATTGGAGAGCCGTACATTTTGTATGGCTCTAATCGCATCGCACCCGCACCAAAAAGGGTGCAGGATCCTTTTTGTGGTCCGCACTAGAATTGGATTGCATGGGTATTCACACCTTCACTTTCACCCCTCTTTAGCTCTGACCTCTGCATGCAACCCCCCTTCCACTGCCCTCTTATTCTCCCACCTCCTTAAAGTCACTACAGTCTTCCACATGGCTCACTTTTGGTACCGTATTAAGCTGATGCACTCTGTTGGATCTAGTACCTCCCCATACACTGTAGGTGGCTCTGTCTACCCAGGGAGATCATCCATTGGGGGTGTCGGCATCCGCACTGCACTCGGGGCACCTGCATCTCCTTTATTCCCATCCTGGGAAGCCAGTCATCTTTTTTTACAAGTGATAGTGGTGGGCAGGGAGCAGAAGGCCCGAGCCAGAGGTGGTGGAACTCAGTTCCACCAAGTTTCAGCTGAAAAAAAAAAGCCATGAGTAAGAGCGTTTTGCCTTTCTCAGTTATGGAGCCTAGAGTTCCACCTTAAAACAAGCCATCCTTAATTTATTTATCTGCTTCAGCTATGAAGTCCTTTCTTTTTAAAGATCACAACAAAGACCATGAAGTCAGTTTTAGTCCGTAGCTTACAGTTTAGAAAAACATTTTTTACAGTAGAGAGCTGGCTGGCTGCAAGATTCTGCAGTAGAAAGTAATAGGAAAAGAGCTAAGATTTCAGTGCATCTGTTGCAAATTTTGAAGATAAAGTTCACCACAATTCCTAGGGCCTCAGAGGTGCATGGGGGATGGCTTTAAAGTATTTTTGCTACTTGTTCAGCATACACTCACCTGCCTCTTCATTAGGTACATCTGTTCAATTGCTTGGTAACATAAATTTCAAATCAGTTAATCACATGGCAAGAACTCAATGCATTTAGGCATCTAGAGGTGGTAAAGACGACTTGCTGAAGTTCAAATCGAGCATCAGAATGGGGAAGAAAGGGGATTTAAGTGACTTTGAACGTGGCATGTTTGTTGGGGCTAGACGGTCTGGTCTGATATTTCAAAAACGCTGATCTGCTGGGAATTTCACACACAACCATCTCTAAGGTTTCCAGAGAATGGTCCAAAAAGGAAAACATTTCCAATGAGTGACAGTTGTGTGGAGGAAAATGTCTTGTTGATGTCAGAGATCAGAGGAGAATGGGCAGTGTGACATTCAGATGGTAGGGTCATAATTTGGGTGTAAACAACATGGAAGCATAGATCCATCCTGCCTTGTATCAATGGTTCAGGCTGGTGGTGGTGGTGTCTTGTTGTGGTGGATCTATCCTGCCTTGTATCAACGGTTCAGGCTGGTGGTGGTGGTGGTGTCATGGTGTGGGGGATCCATCCTGCCTTGTATCAACGGTTCAGGCTGGTGGTGGTGGTGTCATGGTGTGGTGGATCCATCCTGCCTTGTATCAACGGTTCAGGCTGGTGGTGGTGGTGTCATGGTGTGGTGGATCCATCCTGCCTTGTATCAACGGTTCAGGCTGGTGGTGTCATGGTGTGGTGGATCCATCCTGCCTTGTATCAATGGTTCAGGCTGGTGGTGGTGGTGTCATGGTGTGGTGGATCTATCCTGCCTTGTATCAACGGTTCAGGCTGGTGGTGGTGGTGGTGTCATGGTGTGGTGGATCCATCCTGCCTTGTATGAACGGTTCAGGCTGGTGGTAGTGGTGTCATGGTGTGGGGGAGATTTTCTTGGCACTAGCAAGGTAGACCTGTATGTTATTACTTCAGAGTATCTAGCCTGCACCTAGGTTGGCACACCTTAACTATATGGCAATAGGTAATAAAGATAAATCATCACAGCTTTATCTTGCTCTATGTTGTTGTTTGTTGAACAAAGAACAGAGTTTTAATGATTATCTTGTTTCTGCAGTTCCACTGTTGCCCCCACAAACCCTCCAGCAGGTGATGGTACCAATTATCAGCAACAGCGATTGTGACGCGATGTACCACATTGGTAGCAACACCATTGCCGATGAAGTCATCATCCCCAGTGACCAGATCTGCGCGGGGTACTCGTCTGAAAGTAAAGATTCCTGCCAGGTGGGTTAATAATTCCCTGAATAAATATACATATTACCGTCAATTACAGTATATTACACTACATACATCTTTAGAATTACTGTATATAATAGTAAGGCAAAGGTCATGGAAAGGAATTTTTTTTACTAGTATATAGCCACAATTTTTTGTTTACAACAGGGCTGTTATATATGAACATAAGCAATGAACTTTGTTAAAGGATGGAGCAAAAGAAAAAATGGTGTAGAGGGTGAAAAAACTGGGTAAAAATTAGAAAACGAGGAAGACCTTGTGTTTTTAAACCCGTCTCCATAACCTCCCCTTTATAATGTTTGTATCCAATGCAGCTTCTCATGGGGGAAGTTTCCTTATGGACTCATGGAGCCCCCGTATTAAGGAAAATGTTATTTATTTACTTTTCTTTTGTTATTTATGTTTTAAAGTGTGACATGCACGCTTTCAGCCTGACCCTGCACAGAGATGTATGTGTATATACTGTATATATATATATATATATATATATATATATATATATATATATATTTTGTCTGAGTATAGATCAGGGGCGGACTGACAACTCATGGGGTCCCCGGGCAATAGGGGATCATGGGGCCCCTGTGTCCTTGCCCAAACTCAAAAAAAGCCTATGAAATAGTACCAGGGGTGTCTCATGGGGCCCCCTACTGACCCTCGGGCAGTGCCTGAGTTTCCATATGGTCAGTCCGCCCCTGGTATAGATCTATGTTTGTCCCAAGCATATGTGAATCTACTTACTGTTGACTCACACATTACCTCTGCTGGCAGGATTCTCCAAGCATCATCTACTCATTTGATAAAATAATACTTTCTAAGATTAGATGAAAACATTTTTCCTACCAGTTTGAGGTCGTGTCCCCATGTTCTTGATCTTAGCTTTGTATTGGAAATACTACCCTCCTGAACCTTATTCAATACTACCCTCCTGAACCTTATTCAATACTACCCTCCTGAACCTTATTCAATACTACCCTCCTGAACCTTATTCACACCCTTCATGTGTTTAGAGGTTTCAGTCAGATAATCTTGATGTACAATTGCCATTCAAAATTAAAATGTTATTATGTTGGAGAAAGTCCTCTTAGTGGGATAGCTCAAGTTATGACTGCAGTAATATGAATCAAGCTGATCAGAAAATTATAATTTTCTCTTTCAGGGAGACTCTGGAGGTCCTCTGGTCTGTCAAGTTGATGGTCGCTGGTACCAAGCTGGCATCGTCAGCTGGGGAGATGGATGCGCCCAACCTAACCGGCCTGGAGTTTACACCTACGTCCCATACTATTATAACTGGATCTCCTCCCGTGGAAACATTCGTTCTGCTTCATCTGCAGCTGTTCTGATTGTGTCCCTGCTGCTGGTACTAACTTTTTTACTTCTGCAAAGATGAAGGACATAGTCTTCGGAATGGGTGGCAAAACCACTAGTTTTTTTTAAAATCTGCACTACTTAAATTAAAACTACAAACAAACAGAGAATATTAGGGGAGAACCTGGATGGTCAACATCAATGCGGTGCTCAACATAAATGTCCAAATGTTGGCTGTAAACATGATCGATTTTGATTTTTTTTTCTGGTTCTACCTGGGTTCATTGTGATAATGATTCGCACAGTGTGCAAAGTGGTCTAAATAGGACAACATCACAACCTCCAATACTATGAAACAGTCCAAGGAAACAATCCAACATAGGAACAGGAGGCACCTGTTGAACTTTCGATGGACATGTTGGTGTTTAATTTTTTTTTTAGTCCAGATAATAAATGTTGATGATTGGTTATACTGTATATAGAAAGTGAAAAGGAAGAAAGAGGCCATTGTTTAATTATTCAAAATGCTCAAATATGTCCTGTTACTCTTTTGCATATCTGTATTGAATTTTAGTCCCCACTACTACTGTGTGGGGTTCCCTCTAAAATCCATACCAGTCTTTTTAGGCCTGGTAGGAGTTTTTAGGGGAACTCCACCCCAAAATATGGGGGAAAAAATGTGGGGTCTCTCCTAACCTAAATTCCTACCAGACCCTTGATACGAGCACAGGTCTGGCAGGCCAGGAAAGGAGGGGGATGAATGAGCGACCCCCCCCTTGAACGATAGCAGGGCACATGCCCTTAACTTGAGGCGGGGTGCTTTGGGGTAGGGGAGACAAAGGCCTCTTCCCCACAGCCCTGGGCTGTTGTTGTGGGGGTTTGCAGGGGGTTACTTATCGAAATGTGGAAGCCCCCTTTAACGAGGGGGCCCCCAGATCCCCCCCCTTGTGAATGAGTATGGGATACCTTACCCATTCACCAGAAATGTGTAAAAGGTTAATAAAAAACACAACAACAGTTTTAACAAATCCTTTATTTATAAAATAGCCTCCAAAAATGTTTCCATCATTGTAATCAATTGTCAATCACTGGGTCCAGCATTGTCATGACGATGCCAACTCACCAAACCCCCCCTCCCCGACACCCACCCCACAGACCCGCCCTCACCCGCTGAGCACTTGTCGCTATCTGACATTCGCTGGTTAGGTGTAAACAATATGGCGAAGCTAACAGTGATGTCAACGCCAGCTCCGTCCACTTGTGCTGTGATTGGCCAAAGCACTGTACCTGGCCTGTGGTAAGGTGCATTGCTTTGGCCAATCACAATGCACTGTCATAACAACCCACCGAACGCCTTTTCTGTTCTTATGTTTGACTCATACATCAAGCCCACCACTATACAGTATATGACATTTTTTGGTTTTGGGTAAGTCTAAATTTTGTGTTTTTTGTATTAGCAGTTGTGATGGGTCCTCTTTAGGCGTAAAAGATCTGTTTGGTGGTGAAGGTCACCATAAAGGCCTTGAGAACATTTTCCTGAGTAAACACACATGACTCTGCAAATCCCAGCAACATATAGAGAGATGAAGAGCTCCATGAAGAGCGCAAACAAAGGAGAGAATGACGAGAGACATCACAACAATACAAACATTGCTCATCTATATTCCTCAGCACCCGCATCACCGTATGGTTCACCTGAGCCAATGACACCATCGTCTCGTATATCACCTACTCACAGAGCCACCAGTACTGAGGAAACTGCCTGGACAGGTTTTCTGACCTCCATTACACAGACAACGGAGACCAGTTCTTGTATCTCAGATGATATGTATAAAATCTGATATTAAGCTGAAGCCTAAAACTGTAAAAAAAAAAAAAAAAGAAAAAAAAGAAAACTGCCCTTGTAGTGCCCCCCACCTACACATACACTGCAAGGGTTCAGTGGCAGATAGATTAACAACATAAAACAGAGAGCAAAAAAGTGAGCGCTTTCAATAGACAAGCAGCTGAAGCACACAGGATAACCAAAAAATCCTCACATGAAAATAAAATTAAAGTGCAGCACTAGAAATTAAATGTGACACAATAAAAAGTGATCAAAAAAAGTCCCAGTTGTGGTGACCTAGGGTAACAATGCACACTAACCAGAAGTGCACATAAATAGTGCAGTGTAGTAAGGATGGAGTTTCATAAAGTAGTCATCAGCATGGAGAGGGTAGATGTATTCCCTTGATCAGTGAAGGTCCACACAATGATACAGAGCTAGGCAGAAGAAATCCACTAGATGGCAGAAAATGATCACGGCTCCACCAAAGAAAACACTGCTCTACCACTGTACACCAACGATATCTGAGAAAAAAGATGCTCCCGTCCTGTCAGATGTAGTGGCCGCCGGAGCTCCACGATGCTCCGACGGCGTGACGTCAAAGCGTGCGTAGGCTCCTCCTTACGCGTTACGTGCCGAGCACATCTTCAGAGAAAGAACCGGAGCCGTGATCATTTTCTGCCATCTAGTGGATTTCTTCTGCCTAGCTCTGTATCATCGTGTGGACCTTCACTGATCAAGGGAATACATCTACCCTCTCCATGCTGATGACTACTTTATGAACTCCACCCTTACTACACTGCACTATTTATGTGCACTTCTGGTTAGTGTGCATTGTTACCCTAGGTCACCACAATTGGGACTTTTTTTGATCACTTTTTATTGTGTCACATTTAATTTCTAGCGCTGCACTTTAATTTTATTTTAGATAGATTAGTAGGCAGAGTAGGTATCTGCTTATGGGCCCCATGCACACCCGAACTATTGTACCTCATAGCTCCAAAATGCTGGAAGAGAGAAATTCAATGCATCTCCATGGAGTTGCCTGAATGCCTGAAGCTCAGAAACGTTTTGTAGCTACTTTGGAAGGTAGAATTGGGGAGATTGGTGCATTTTAAAATCCCCCCCCGCTCAAATAAATGCAATAAAACACGTGATTCACTTTTTTGCGCATTTTGTTACGTCTGTAGGCATGTTTTTTTCTGCTCGAATGCAATAAGTAAATAAAAGTTAAAAAATAGCAATAATAAATTCATAAATACACAATAATAATAATTAAATAATAAGTACATAAATCCCCATTAATTAATCCGCAGATCCCATCCATCTTGCGGGAATCGTCGGCTTGCAACCTATACGGGGTTAACTGATCTTTTTTTAACACCAGTCCGGTCTGCACATGCTCGCAGGGGCGGACTGACCATTTGGTAACTCGGGCACTGCCCGAGGGCCCGGGGTCAGTAGTGGGACTCATGAGATGCCCCTGGTACCTTTTTCATAGGCTTTTTTGAGTTTGGGCAAGGACACAGGGGCCCTATTGCCCGGGGGCTCCATGAGTTGTCAGTCCACCCCTTCATGCTCGAGAAGTGTTGTCAGATGGAGGAGGTTCCTGCTATCGTGGCCTCGTTTCCTGGATTCAGACAAGTCCCGTATCTTGCACAGCCTTACCTAGATCAGTTAACCCCACAGAGGTTGCAAGCCGACGATCCCCGCAAGATGGATCGGATCTGCGGATTGGGAGCATAATGGATTGGACTCCGATCCATTATGCTCAATCTGCAGATCCAATCCATCTTGCGGGGATCGTCGGCTTGCTTTAAAATATTCCTTTTTGTGGAGCTCGTGGAGAGGGTCCAGTGTCACCCCGTGTGATAGGTGTCACCCGGTGTGGCGTGCATTCCCCGCACCCACCTAGGGACGCCACTGTTTGTAGCTATGCTTGTTCAAGCTTCATGCACTCTGAATGTTTTTGAAGTTGCTCTTTGGGGTGTCTTGCTAGGAAAGGAAAATGACTGTAAGTATTTGATAGAATTTTCTGTTTTTCGTTTCAAACCTCATAACAAACCCCAGGCACACCTCCAATCACAAGGGCTTGCAGTGCTTGTTTTATAGCTCATACCATAGCCCTTTATCTTGCCAGCTACTACATTTCCCACCAAGGCAGTGCCAGCACACCCAACACGATCCATCTGGTGCCACTCATGGACACCTATCGCTGAGCATCCCTAGGAACTTTTGTTAATCAATGTGATGGAACGTTTGCCACCCTGATTGGTGACTCCGTCAGAGAACCTCATAACAAACCCCAGGCACACCTCCAATCACAAGGGATTGCAGTGCTTGTTTTATAGCTCGTCCCATAGCCCTTTATCTTGCCAGCTACTACATTTCCCACCAAGGCAGTGCCAGCACACCCGACACGATCCATCTGGTGCCACTCATGGACACCTATCGCTGAGCATCCCTAGGAACGTTTGTTAATCAATGTGATGGAACGTTTGCCACCCTGATTGGCGACTCCATCAGAGAACCACTTCCTCACCACTGAGACACAGGACGAAGGTATTATAGCCGGGCATTGCACCCAAGACTAGACAAGACCAGCTTCGATGCCAAACAGGAACACTTTATTGAACCGAAATACAGTTTTTATACACTCCAGAAATAGGGGCAGTCCCCACAATAACACAAATATTACACATTGAGATAAACATCCCACACTGATTAGATAACGAGGTGAAGCTGACATCAGTCTAATCCTATCATGTAGGCACCTCCAGAAGGACTTGTCAGCAGGAAAAATAATAGGTGACTCAATTAACAATGGGAATGCACACCTAGGAGGCACACAATGGGAGAAGATAGTAAACTCATAACACCTTAATAAACAGATTAGAGCAAGAAGTTGTTTTGAGGTGATTATATCAACATCTTCTTAGAGTCTCTAAGTCTAGGGGGGGGGGGGAGTTGAAGCAGTCAATGCTAGTTTGGGCAGAGAGACCCCAATCTGTATCCTGGTCCTCCAGTTTTCAGAGTCTGAGTGTTTTGGGGACACATGGACTTGACTCCGAAGTAAACTACTCCAAAGGTCCCCACAGGCACCCAGCAAAGAATAGAGCCCCCTCAGATGCCAGGGCCATTGGCAGGAGGCTAGCCTGCCCCTGTGTCTGTCACAATCAGCAAGCCTGAAAATGGGGGGTGGGACCATAAGTGATCACATCCCCTCTGTTCTCAGCTGCACAGAGAGATGTTAGAGG